GATCGAACCCGGGCCGCACGCATGCTAGGCGAGCGCGCTACGGCTTGAGCCACATCCCCAGCCCCCTTTTTTTTTCTTTAGATGTTGATGGACCTTTTATTTTTAATATACCTTTAATATACCTTATTAATTAATTTATTTTTATATGGAGTTGAGAATTGAACCCAATGCCTCACACATGCTAGGCAAGTGCTCTACCTCTGAGCCACAATCCCAACCCCACTTTTTTATATTTTACTTAGAGACAGGGGTCTTACTGAGTGATTCAAGACCTCGATAAGTTCCTGAAGCTGATTTGAATTAACAATCCTTCTGCCTTAGACTCCCAAGCCGCTGGGATTATAGGCATGTGCCACCACACCCAGCCCTATGAATAGTTTTGATGTGAGAAATACTTTTTTTAAAATATCTTTATTTTTATTTATTTTTATGTGGTGCTGAGGATCAAACCCAGGGCCTCACACGTGCTAGGTGAGCGCTCTACAGCTGAGCCACAACCCCAGCTCCAAGAGAAATACTTTTGATACAATGTGAAGCCAAAATAATTTGTATAGCCAGTATAATGTCACACATAAAAAATCCAATTAATTAAAGAAAAGTTAGCTGTTTTTACACTGCTGGTGGACGTATAAAATTATGGAGGACAATTTGGTAATTTCTAGAAAAATTATATACACTTTTTTTTAAAAATATTTTTAGTTGTAGATAGACACAGTATCTTTATTTTTATGTGGTGCTGAGGCTCGAATCCAGTGCTAGGCAAGCACTCTACCACTAAGCCACAAACCCAGCCCCAAAATTGCATACGCTTTGATCCAGCATTACCATATCCATGAATTTATACTATAGATTTACTCCACATGACTAAAGAGGTATGTCAAAATAGACATTGAAACGCTACTTCTTTTTTTATATTTTTTTTAATTGAAGATGAACACAGTATCTTTATTTTAGGGGCAGAGGATTGAACGCAGTGCCTCACACATGCTAGGCAAATGCTCTACCACTGACCTACAACCCCAGCCCAAAAACACTATTTATTTCTCTTTTTTTTTTTATTTATTTTTTAGTTTTAGGTGGACACAATATCTTTATTTGGTTTTTATGTGGTGCTGAGAATCGAACCCAGTGCCTCTCGCGTGCTAGGCAAGCGCACTACCACTTGAGCCACATCCCCAGCCCCAAAATACTATTTCTAATAGTAAAATATTGAACTGGTTCAGAGGTCTCTCAGTTAAGCGTTCATTAAATAAACTTTGGACACACAAATAGAATAGATTATGAGTTGGCATGCTAGCAGATTCCCAAATCACAGCAGCTCAGGAGGCTGAGGCAGGAGGATCACAAGTTCAAAGCCAGCCTCAGCAACTCATCGAGGCTCTCAGCAGCTTAGTGAGACTGCCTCAAAATAAAAAGGGGGGGGTGCGGGGGATGTGGATCAGTAGTTGAGCATCCAAAGTTCAATTCCCTAGTACTTAAAAAAGAGATTATGACAAAACTATTTTTTAAATAAATAAATAAAATACAAAATAGGTCTGGGGATGTGGCTCAGTAGTGAGTACCCCTGAGTTCAATCCCCAGTACCAACAACAACAACAAAAAAAGATAAAAAAGAACAGAGCCAACAGCCCACTGGAGAAATTAGGAAGGCAATTGTAATAGATTTACCAATTATAAGATGTTCCTAGCCCAGATGGTTTTACTACTGTTTAAAGCATAAAATAGACAATTCCTTCAATTCATAGATAAAACACGAATTACCACAAAAAAAGAAAACTGACAATTTTATTGTGAATATGGATGCAAAAATATAAAAGATTAGCATATTGAATCCAACAGTGCAACAAAAGAATCACTACTGTACAATCAAGTAGGGTATTATTCCAGGAATGCAAGAATGGTTCTACTTAGGGAAATCCATTAAAGTAATTCATCATATCAGCAAGTTAAAAAGAAAAACTACAGTCGTTTACTTAATAGATGCTGAAAGATGACAAGATACAGCCATTATTCCTGATAACAACTCCTAAGAAAAATAGAAGGAAAATATATATATATAAATAATGAAGACCCTACCAAAATCCAGCAGATTAAAACTAACTCAAGGTAGAATTTTCACTTTTATGGCTATTTATCCATTCTTTTCTCAATAACTATACTTTTTTTTTCTCTTTTCCTTAATTAGAGTTTCCATGTGTTGGCTTATTTCATTTTTCAAAGAAAAATATCCATATGTTTTGAAGGATCAAACTGATAAAGGGACACAGAAAAATAAAAAACTGGTATAAGTATTAGAAAAGACAACTGTGGGGGCTGGGGATACAGCTCAGTTGGTAGAGTGCTTGCCTTACATGCACAAGGCCCTAGCTTCAATCCCCAGCACCAAGTATAACTACAAAAAAAAAAAAAAAAAAAAGAAAAGGCAACTGTGTTAGAAATGCGAGAAACACTAATAAAGTCTATAATAAAAGAGAGAATTTTAGATTTCTTATATTGGCTATTACTTGACAGAAATGAAAATGGAATGTCAAGAACTTAAATCAAGAAATAACTTCAGCATAAAAATACAAGGTTGGTTAGTTAATTTGTTTGTTTATAGTGGTCCTGAGGATCCAACCCAAGGCCTCACATATGCTAGGCTGAGCTACACCCTTAGCCTAAGGAAGATTTATATAAATTTTACAATTACTATTAAAATTTCAGTCATTTTTTAACAAAAATTTACAAGCTGATTCTAAAGTTTATATGGAATTCCAAGAGAATCAGAAGCCTAAACAATCTGGAAAAACAAAGTTCTTTAAAGACTCACACTTTCCAATTTGAAAAATTACTACAAAGGCCTAAGTGTAAGAATTAAAACTGTACAACTCTTTTTTTTTTATTAAAGAGAGAATTCTTAATATTTATTTTTTTCAGTTTTTCAGCAGACACAACATCTTTGTATGTGGTGCTGAGGATCGAACCTGGGCCACACGCATGCCAGGCGAGCACGCTACCACTTGAGCCACATCCCCGGCCCTAAAACTGCACAACTCTTAAGAGATAACATAGTTATAGATCTTTCTGACCTTGTAATAGACAGTGGTTTCCTAAATTTAATACTAAAGGTCGACTTTAGCTCATGCTAAAGTCTGTCTAAATATAACACTAAAAGCACAAGTAACAAAAGAAAAAAAAATGAAATCTGTCTACATCAAAGGATACTATCATGAAAGCAAAATGGGAGAAAATATTTCAAATCTTATATCTATCTGACAAAAGTCTTGTATCCAGATTATGCAAAGCAATCTTGCAACTAAACAACAACAAAATTTTAGGTAGGTAAAGGACTTGAATTACATTTCTCCAAAGAAGATATATAGATACCCAACAAGCACAAGAACATCACTAGTTATTAAAAAAAACAAATCAAAACTTCCATAAGAATCCATTTGACACCCACTAAGATATAATTTTAAAAGGAAAATAAGTGTTGGTGAATATGTGAGCCAGGCGTAATCCTGTAATCCCAGTGGGACAGGAGGCTGAGGCAGGAGGATCAAAGCCAGCCTTAGCAAAAGCAAGGCACTAAGCAACTCTGACCCTGTCTGTAAATAAAATATACATAATAGGGCTGGGGTTGGGGCTAAGTGGTAGAGCACTTGCCTTGCAAATGTGAGGCACCAGATTTGATCCTTAGCACCACATTAAAATAAAATAAAGGTATTATGTCCATATGTAACTAAAAAATAATAATAATTAAAAAAAAATAATAGGGCTGGGATGTGACTCAGTGGTACAGTCCCTGAGTTCAATCCCTGGTACCAAAAAAAAAAAAGATGTTAAAAAAAAACTGGAGTCTTCATACTTGCTGATGGGAATGTAAAGTGGTATAGCTGCTGTGTAAAACAGTTTGATGGTTCCTCAGTACTTAAAGATTTACCTCATTGGTAAATATAAGGTCCTGGGTTTCATCCCAAGTACCACGAAAAAGAAAAAGAAAAAAAAAAAAAAAGTTACTTTGGGATGGGAATATAGCTTAGCTGTAGAGCACTTGCCTCTCTGGTCATGTTTTTTATATGAACTGGAGCAGTTTTCTATGCACAAGGTCCTGGGTTTGATCCATAGTACCATAAAATAAATGAAAATAAATTTTAATATAAAATAAAAATATATTCAAAAAAGAACTATCCAAGAATAGTCAGAATATAAATAATAAAAAGGACAGTAATGTGAGGACTGCCTTTCTATATATTAAAACATATAAAGCCATTGCAGTCAAAATATAGGCCCAAGAGTAAATAGATGTTGAATCAAAGAGAAAAATCCAGAAACAAATTGTGTGAGAAAACTACATGATAAAAGTGACATTTCAATTCATTGGAGAAAATGATGTCAAGATGGTTGGCCATGCACTGGGAAAGAAGTAAAGACTCCCAACATCATAGCATATACCAAAATACATTCTAGATGAATTAAAACTTATGG